ATATATATATTCGACAACATTTCACAACATCTCAGACCATGCTGGAAAATTCTATAATGTTATCGAATGTTCGGTAACATCCCGGGTTATTGTGAAACATTCCAGAACAGTTTCGAATATTGTGAAATGTTCCGAAACATTGTGGACCATTCGAAACGTTTTTTGTATTGGTGGGGTTAACCATTGGTATGAGTATATGAAGCACGATCTATCGACTTCTAATAATTAGGTTTATTCTTTCATTCTAACACATACAATCTCATATCAACTCCCTGAGCCAAGCCAGCTACCCAGCTAGGATTATTATATAATCATCTAAGCGTTATTTTGAGGAAAATGTAAAGAAATCGAAAATAACATTGGAATATTTTCTTACCGTAAAACGAAGAGAACAATTGTGCAGATGTAATAATGAAAACTTGAAATTTGCTTTGTGTGAGAAACGGTTGTAAATCATCAAAACTTCAAAATATAGATGAACATTCATGAAACTTAGTACATAATACGGTTCGGACAGACATGACGAAGTTCTAATCATAAGAAGATTCTTGGTGAACAACTTCAGCACAACTCCAGCCAACTTAGAATTTAACAATGCTTTGACTTGAAGTTGTGTACAATGTGAATCTCGTTTCATTAGAATTTAGCTTTGATGATATCAAAACTGTTACCATTTTTAAACTCTGATTTATACAAGGTACACCTGCAGCTTACCATGATTCTCGGCTGGCTAATCCCGAATGTATTTAAGGTCTATTAACGCTTGCCAATGAAGTCTCAGTTCCGTTGCCGTTTCATTTGGTCTCAGTCATTTAACATCTGTTATGGCTTCTCATATACATCAGTCGTCAATAATTGTCCTCTGTTTGTTATTTCTAGTGGTTTTTGCAAAAAATTGTGGACTGGCTAATGATTTGAGTTTGAAGTGAAAAAATGATTTTTGTAATTCTGAAAAAATGTTGAAAAGAGAAATGAAAATTTCTATGTTTTTTACCACTTTTATTTGTAACTAACATTACTGCAGTTTCGTCCTATATGGACATTTTCAAACTTAAACAATAATTACAAGCCAGAAACAAAGCCAGAAATTGACTTGCAGATTAATATATCCTCAGGTCAAATAACCAGAAATCAAGAAACGGGTAACGCTAACATATTTTGGAAAAAGAACAGAAATTATCGCAGGTTTCTTCAGAAAAACCAATGTGGAAGTAGCATTCAGACCACATGCCAGGTTATCTCATTTTCTTTTCAATGTCAAAGATAAGGTCGACAAGTTGGAAAACTCTGGAGTTTATAAGCTTAAGTGTCCGGAGTGTAATAGTGTTTATGTGGGACAATGCGGACGAAATTTCCAAAAACGGTAAGCTGAACATGGAAGGTCCTTCAGACTGGGAAAAAATGATTCAAGGTTTTCAAACCATTCCTTGGCATGTTACGACAAGTTTCCGAATCTAAACGATACGGAAATTCTGCACTATGCAAGAAAGGGTTGCAAACTCAATTATTTAGAATCCTTGGAAATTCACAAGCATAAACATTGCGGGTGCAACCTGTTAAATGACCAAATCCATTTAATTTACTCTTCGGTTTTTAAATTGGCACATGCGCATTGTGAACTGTAAATTCAGGTACTCAATCAAGTACCTGAATGATATATATTAGCGAATGTGAAAAAAAAAGTTTATTGTTTAAGTTTGAAAATGTCCATGTAGGACGAAACTGCAGTAACGTTAGTTACAAATAAAAGTGGTAAAAAACATAGAAATTTTCATTTCTCTTTTCATCATGATCTCCTACCACATAGTAACGGCTACATCCATCAATTTACTCAAAAAATGTATTTTCTTTAGGATAGTTCTAGTCATAATGTGGTTTTATCGATGTTCCAATCAATAGTTTATTTTCCAAAAAGGCTTTTTTTCCGAAATTATGAAAATTTTCTTCTCACCCCAAACTATTTTCACTCTTTTTCAAACTAAACACTCTGAATGAACCAGTCAAATTCTTAGATCATTTATTAGTATATACGTGAAGTCAACTGTGAAGCGGTAACAATTATTTTCAATTGGGGTGCTTTTCACATTGTTTGTCGCTAAAAACATAGAGACCAATATTATTTTCGTAATATCCCACTCAGTTTTGATGCCGATGACTTTTCGAAAAACGAAACTGAAGGTGTTTTTGGAGCACTTCAGAAATTGTTCTATGAGATTCCCTGAAAATGTATTGTTTTTTGGTTACTTTATATTGAAACTTGAAATTTTGGCGATTGACGACCTTCAACAAGCTATTACTTCGTTACTAGTGGGTCTACAGAAACCCGAAATTCACCATTTTCTTATTTTTTAATAATCCATATTTTCACTATTGAGTTTTCCAATAGATACTCATTTCTGAATTTTCAACCAATGACGTCTTCGTAAGGGTCTCTTACTAAGGTTCGTCTGAAAGAGTTGAGGACGTTGACTAGTATGCCCATATCCATGAACTATATAGCGTATAAAAACAGCGCTGTCATTTGATCATTTGAGCAAAGCAATACTTTAGTTTCCGTTTGGGATGGGCAGGTGGCACGTTGTTTTGACTCATCATAATAATATATTGGTGGTTTTTTATTTACTTTAACTGCTACATTTGCATCAGTTCAATCATAGCTCTGTAATTATTCTGAGCCGATCCCTGCAGTCCTTTAATTTAGATTTTGAGAATCTGACAGTTGGTGAGGGCCTATCTATGGAGTATCTCATTCGTGTCGGGCAGACTCATCAGACTTTGAGTTGCTTGGGACACTGAAGCTGATTTGTTACATTTTGCATTGTCTTTAGTATGTCTGCAGCTATAATCACGAGTATTCAATGACGATATCATGATTCAAAAGGGAAAAAAATAAATGAAGTGAGTTCAATATTATATCAACTGTTGACTGTACGTTCAATGAGACATACCTTGCTTCCAAATATCAAGCACAGAAGTAATGTCACTGAGAGTTGCGTATGGCAGAAGAATATTATGTACATCAAATCAGGGTTGGCTGGCTTCTGTAGAAATAACCTGCAACAAAAAAATATTGTAAACTTTTTTGTTCACATCACATCATGTTGAGTCCTTTCGGATCGGATTGTGAAAAATATCCATTGGTTGATAAACAGTAGAAACAAACCAGTATACTGGTATGAAATGTTTTTTTTTGTCAAGAATATGTACGTGTGGGGCTATTCACGAGTGAACAAGGAAAAATAAATAAATATCAATATTTCAAACTGTTTCGTTATCATAAGTCCACTAGTCCATATCTTTCGTTTATAAATTTATATTTTGTCCCCTTCAAAGTAGTCCCTATCAGATATAATACACTTATGCCAGCCTTTCTTCCAATCCTCGAAGTAGTTCTGATATGCAATCTTTGGTTTTTATCCCCTCAATCGTCGCAAAAAGTCAGCCATTCATGGATCTCTTCAATCTTTGGAACACAGGGGGCAAATCTGGTGAATACGGTGGGTGATGCATGATTACGGTGTTGTTTTTGGCCAAAAAATTACGGACAAGCAATTTCGAGTGAGCAGATGCATTATTGTGATGTGAAAGCCAGAAATTGTTTTTCCACAATACCGGACGTTTTCTTTGTATTGCTTCTTACAAGCAGCGCATAACTTCAACTTCAGTTTCACAGAAAAACGATACGTGTTTCGCTATACAATAGCTTCTTAAGGCGTGTCTAAAGTATTGCCCCATTCCATCACATATAGTGAGCAAAACCTTGACAATTGATGGAACTTAACGTGCTTTTTTCAGTCTTGGCTCTCCTGAGTTCTTCCTTTGGGACGATTCGACTTTGTTTTCGATGTTATAATCATATATCCATGATTCGTCACCAGTTTTAATCCAATCAAGCCATTGACGTCATACAACAACCCCTGGGTGATGCTCATGTGATGGTTTTTTCGGTCAAAATTCAGCAATTATGTGAAGAACTGCGCTGTCACCCGCTTCATGCCTAAAATTTTCAAATAAATTGAATGGCATGAGCCAACCCATATGCCGACATCCTCAGCAACTTCTCTAATAGTGATTCGACGATTATCCATAACAATTGAGCGTCGTATTCACATCTTCTCGACCTTCTGTGAAAAGTTTGTAGCAGACATTTTTCAGAACCAGAGTACAATCACCGTATGCCATTGTCAACATTTCAAGTGTTTTTTGAGCACTTAATTTCATTTTTCACACAAAATTTTATGCAAATTCTATGGATCTATTTTCTTCGACAGTATTAAATCGCCGAACACACAAAACACTTCTAATTTTTAGGCTTCTCATCAACAAACTGAAGATGCTCAACAGCTGAACATATGTTCGAGACGAGTGTACCAAAATAAAAAAAATAAATGAAAAATCGCTAATCGAATGTACGTAGCCCTTATTTTTGTAGTACTGATTTCTGATATCAACAAATTATTGGAGAACTATATTTGGAATATTGTTATTACTGTTCTGTTAAAAGTAGTTCTAATTATAATATATGTTGATTCCTGTAAGTTGTGGAATATATGCCCTTATTCAATGTACCTACTTATTGAAGTTGTGAATATACGTTCTGAAAATTTCAGAATCTTTGCTTTTCGTGAACTTGATTATATCCAGGGATCCTGAATGATATTTTGTCCTTTTGTGGTTATGAAATTATCAGAACTATCAACGTTGAGAAGTTGTTTTTTTCATTTTTCATTTTGAGAATGAGACATACATAACAGTAGAGGTGAGAAATTGATATAAAAAAAGATTTGCTGACGGTGTATGTAACAGAGCTCCATAAGGCTAGTCTGTAGCTTTCTTCAATAGTTTTGAACATGCTCTTACTTATTTGATTCGAGTTATGATGGAATTATATTTTTGGGTGACTTCAATATAGATTATTCAAATGTTCAATGCAACACTCATGAAGAGTTCATGTCCATTACGGAATCTTTTAATCTTGAAAAGAATATTTCAGAACCAACTCACTTATCAGGTAATTTCATAGTACTGATTGACCACTCATATTGAAATTTTGAAGTGAACAATTCAGGAGTTCTTGACATAAACGTGGTGAGACACTTTATTGTCTACTGTTCGTTTGAAATAGACACAGAAAGTCTTGTAGTTAGTACTGGTCCATACCGCAACTTTTCTGAAATTAATTTTCACCACTGTAACTGCGACCTCCAAAGTGAGCAACAAAACAGTTATCAAAATGATTAATTAACCTCTGTCGTGAAATACATTCAATAAGCACTGTTTCTGAACTGCAGATCTGTAACACTCATTCCGACGCGCATTTCACCAACCAATTTAAAGTAGGCTGTAAGTATATTTCATTTCACGAGGACGCCAACTTGTTTGGTGAAACACGTGTCAGAAATAATGTTGTAGTTTTAGTGTTTGAGATTAGTGCTTATTTTGGTTTCGATTTATTATTCTTTATTGTCCTCGCATAGTGCCCTATATCACTCATATTGTTGATGAAAGAGTATGCAGAAACTCCTTTCCCTATACCTGAAAGTAGCACTTGTTTTATCGATTTTTTAAATAACCAATGCCACAGAGGTTTCTATTTTTAGAGGTATTATTATATTAGCAACACTTACATGAGGCATGAGGGGTTTGCTGGCCAAACTTCGATGCTATGGCTTGTCGGATCATTTTTGTGTATGGCTCTTCAGCTTCCTGAAAGAACGTTCTCTGCAAGTGGCCGTCGATGTAAATCTCCCAAATACTTTCACGATCCACGCTGGTGTTCCACAGGGATCCATATTGTCTCCAACCCTCTTTTCATTGTATAGCAACGACTTATTGGAAAAAACCAAGAATTAATTATATTGCTTTGCTGACGACAGCCTTGTCATTTCATTGGGATTCCAGGACATTGACTGCGGTTGCACATCTTCACGGGCAGCAGGAGGTTGCATATCTTAATGAGGATATGAGGATCTGGAGATGATTTCGAACTGAGGTGAAAGTAACCAATGCTACTCAGGCATCGGTTTTCTCTTAAAAGATAAATGTCTCCAAACCGGATATAATAATGTCAGGACAGACAATTCCGCTTCGATAAGTTTGTTGGGGGTTAAAATGGACACCAATGTGTCTTGGCACAATCATGTCGCTTGAAATACAGAGGGTGCTGTTCAAAAGCTTGATTTTGTATTAGTTTCAAATGTTCATATAGGACGAAATTGCAGTGACGACCACAAATAAAAGTGGTAAAATACATAGAAAAATTCATTTCTCATTTTTCATGATGATCTCCTATGACATAGTAACGGCTACATCAATCAATTTATTGAAAAAATTATGTAATAGGTTTTATTGAAGAAAAAAAATATGATGTAGATAATGTACTAAAAATTGAGAAATAATTCAGCAGGTCTTAGGTAGCAGTCATCACACCACTCTCCTCAGCAATCTACGGTATTGATCCGATAAGAGCAACATGTAGGAACACGAACGGCGCCTATATTATAAATGTCAAGACATCCGTTAGAGGGTGTTTTTTGAGGAAGCATGTTAGCCAGGTCTCAGATGTTTAGACTTCTTTTTTCAGAGACTGATACAAAATCCGCCTGAGAGACATAAACGAACTCTGCGAAAGGATTTGATGAGCTTGTGCAGAAATTAGAACCAAACAACTACTGAATGTAAGGTGTTCGTAAGCACTTTGACAAATTAATACATCCAGATGTATGATGCATTATCAAAGATTGTGACTGGTGAATTGCGGATATTAAATGAATAATTTTACTTATTTGAACATTTTGTTCATCTGGGTGACACAGCTTCAGCAAGACTTTGCCTTCAATCTTATCATTTATTTTTGTATTGCTATTTATTTTTCATGAAAACGAGTTTCTATTATCATCATCATCATTATTTCCGAAAGTTATGCCTGTCAGGTCCTGTCCCTAAAGCAAGCCTCATTACATTCAAAGGATGGGCCACATTATCAACCAATTACTACTCTTCACACCGTGGGGTAAATGATCATTGGGTCCAGAAATAATGTGCCCTGAGTAGACGCAGTGAACTAAAAATGTCAGCCTTCTGCATTTGTCCGACCGAAATTTAGATATTTCATCCGTTTTTGCTCTGATGAAGAACTGAGAAGAACTACAATTGGCTCATTAGCTTGTGAGAGCTTGAGAATGGAGAATGAATAGTTTTAATAAATTCGGCAATACCATTCTTCACAACGGATTGAATATCTCCCAGAGCGTAGGGTATCACCGATGTATCGTCGTGCAGAGGCATAAAGTTTAAGATCATCCAAATGAAACAAATTTGTAACCCTATGCCTCCGGTTTCCGGAGGTGCCACAGTAATGACTTCGAATATTTCTGAGCGCAACGAATAATAACAATAGTAAAATGCAGAAAAGAAGTGGACTGAGGAAATCACCCTGAAATACACCCCTTCTCAAAGTGACCCACCCTGTTTGGACTCTAGCCCAACCAGATGTTATGGTGAACCGATTCCGCCACAGTGGTTATCAGTTATTTACGGCATCTCACTATTGTGTCGCATACCGCAAGGCATCTGAGCGAATGCAAGTTGAGGATGCGACGTCATATCATATGCCTTGCGGTAAACAATCTAGACATTCTAGGCCATAGAAAAGTTACGCTAAATGCACACACACCGATTTTAGACGGCCGATTTTATACAGGTCGTCCAAATTCCAATAGTGAACCACATGTGGGAACGGGACCTGGCACACATGCCTACCGCTAAATGCACACACACCGATTTTGGACGGTCGATTTTGTACCGGTCGTCCAAATTCCAATAGTGAACCACATGTGGGAACGGGACTTGGCACATACGCCGACCGGTGATCGGCGTCGATCACCGGTAGGCATGTGTGCCAGGTCCCGTTCTCACATTTGGTTCACTATTAGAATTTGGACGACCGGTATAAAATCGGCCGTCCAAGTAATACATCTTGTGCCATATAACTTATAAAATATAAGTACACTTTCATATACTATCAATACTATACATACTATGCGTACAAAAAA